AAATGTCACCTTAAAATATCTTCAAAACTTTGTGAATTGATGAAATCAATTTCATTTCTTCAAAATACCAAGGAACCGGCGTTAAAGTGAAATGTTTCGTGACGTGAAGTTTTGAAATTCCGCAGAGTTTATCATTTGAAGAACTCAATTTTCGGCCCGATTTGGAATTTCGGCTGTAATTGGACTTATAGCCCGAATGAGAGTGAAAGTGAGGTTTTGAAGTTCCATGGAGTGAATTGATGAGTTCAGAGTTACTTCTTCAAAATTATCATTACTGTTTTCTAGGCTGTACCAGAGGTCCCTTTAGTTTGGGATTGGAGCCCCCAATTAACTCTCCGCAGGAGTTAGCTTTAAAATCCGTTCAGAGCGCGGCTTTTACGTTAGTAAGAAATAATAAAATATGTATATAAAGATATCCTATTCTTTTCAAAAAAAGACTGAAATTAAGGTCTTTGTTTCTTAAATTTAATGATATCTGAACATAAAGTTGTAAAACATTTAAAACCCTAATTATCATTTCGAAAGAACATTGAATAAAAAGAATAAGCGACAGTCTCCAAATCAGTAGTGAATAACTTAGAAACCGCTGAAGTTTAGAATGCACCATTGAAGACCTCATGCAAAGTTTCAAGACTGTGGGCAGGTATATCGTACCTAGATCATTTCCTTGAGAACTGTGGAGATTACATTAATGAACAACGGATAAAAAATTCCACCATGATATTCATACGATGAAAGAAACCTATCCGAGTCGATAGGATATTGATGTTAGCGTATTGTTGGTTATCAAAAGAAGTGACTTGTTCGGAAGAAAAAAATCATTGCAGAATAAAAACAACATATTTAGATTTTAACTATTTTACCTTTACTTCTATTTTAACTTTACTTCTTTACAATTGAAAGGATTTTGAGGAAAAAAATATAGCCACTCCTCACGACTGACCGGGTTACCACGATTTACAACCAACTGTAAAATTTCATGTAATAAAATTAAAAAAATGATAGCAAAACACTAATCAGTTAGTGTTGTACGAAAAACTGTGATAGTGATTATTTTATTTTGAAGAAAGAGAAAAAGTGAAGAACAAAACTATTACATACGGATTATGACTGGAATAGCGGTCAGGTAGAAATTGTTGTTTAGCCACCTGGTCGTTGGAACATAATCGGGTCGTTAGTTAAGGAGTTGTTTTATAGGTACATTTCATAAAAATGCACAAATCAAGAACATAGTCCTTTTGGTATTCTGCATTGTTAAGTTATTTAGATTGATCAAACGGAGAAAAAAAAAGACAAAAGGCGACGGAGAGAAAAAAAAGACAAAAAAAGCGACGGAGAGAAAAAAAAGACAAAAGCGACGGAGAGAAAAAAAAAGACAAAAAGCGACGGAGAGAAAAAAAAAAAGACAAAAAGCGACGGAGAGAAAAAAAAAAGACAAAAGGCGACGGAGAGAAAAAAAAAAGACAAAAGGCGACGGAGAGAAAAAAAAAAGACAAAAGGCGACGGAGAGAAAAAAAAAAAGCGCGACGGAGAGAAAAAAAGACAAAAGGCGACGGAGAAAAAAAAAAAGACAAAAGGCGACGGAGAGAAAAAAAAAACAAAAGGCGACGGAGAAAAAAAAAATACAAAAGGCGACGGAGAGAAAAAAAAGACAAAAGGCGACGGAGAAAAAAAAAGACAAAAAGCGACGGAGGAAAAAAAGACAAAAAGCGACGGAGAGAAAAAAAGACAAAAGGCGACGGAGAGAAAAAAAAAAAAGACAAAAGGCGACGGAGAAAAAAAAGACAAAGGCGACGGAGAAAAAAAAAGACGACAAAAGGCGACGGAGAAAAAAAAAGACGACAAAAGGCGACGAAGAAAAGACGACAAAAGGCAACGAAGAAACTGGCCACAAAAAAAAAAAAAAATAACGAAAAGAAAAGTCCTCTTGCCTGTCGCTTTTGTCTTACCGTATCAAATAACTGCTGTAGCAAATATATGCAACTATGTTATATATATATTTTTTTAAATCATCTCATCGACCCTCATAATCGTTTTTTAGTATATTGGTATATTACCAATATACTAAAAATAGAAACCATTTTATCTATCATTCTCTTTCTTTCTCATTCACTGATTTGCACTCAAGAATTCTATTCATTTAATTTTTCTACATTCATTTTCTCTATTTTCGGTTGATTTTCTATGGCTTACCAACCCATTACAGGTTATTTAAAGCAAAAAAAAAAAAAAAAAACTTTTTTTAGATTGCAAGAATTTTGAGATAATGATTTAGTGATACTAGTCTTACTAACTAACCCTTAGCTGAAGGAGAAGAGGCGGATTCATACCTTTACCAAGGGTATTTGCGAGTAGAGATTTTCCAAGCGTAGCTTAGATGTGGCACAAGGCCGAAAGTATGGGGCATCCAGTGAGAATCGAACTCACTTTTCAGTAGTAACTGATCTAGCAAGCCAAGCTTGCTAACCATTACACCACGCCGAGGTGCCCAAGGGTATTTACGAGTAAGTGAATATAACGAACCGAACAGGTCTCGGAACTCGGCTCTCGAATTAATATTTTCGAGCTGTTATCCATTACATCACCTGGTATTCCCAAGCGGTCACCCATCTAGGTACTGCCCAGGGTCGATGTAGGCTTAACTTCGGTGTTCGTACAGGAACAGGTGTTTCAACTTGATATGGCCGTAATCAGTAATGATTTTCAGTTAACCAGAATTTAAACTTTGAGAAACGTATGAATTCGACTTTTCTTTTTAAAATAGGCCAATTTTTAATTTTGTCGTACCGGTTTCTCAGTTGTAGCTTGATACGCTACTAGTTAGCTCAATCTGGCAATCCTGTTTGTAGATCGTTAGTATTTGATTTAGAGACAAATGACATCAAATAAGGATCACTTATTTGTTATAAAAGATTTCCAGTTCCCACCATATTTGAAATAGTTTTCTACTCGAGAAAATGAACTTGTAGGCAGTGTTGCCAGAGGTGGTTGATTTTGAAAAAGCCGCTGGTAAAAATTTTAAATTTTGATAATTGCGTTGTTGTAAAGTGCTTATTCAAAACTACTAATTTGTCAAACCGCTTGCACGAATTTTTTTTTTATACAAATGTTCACCAAGTGCAAGGCTCAAGTGTCACTCAAGGTAGAGGATTACTATGAGGTGTTGGCACGAGTCTGAGAAAAAGCGTAACCAACTGCCAGCCCGCTTAGTTGAGCAGCTTTGTACGTATTTGCCTCTATTCACTGACGACTTATTCTGTTACACAAATATTTAAAGTAAATTTACCTAAATATAAAAAGGTGAGTATATCTCGGAAAATTACCAGATGTTAGGATTTGTCTGAATTTTAGAACCCCCTCCCCCACCCCCCAAAAATAAAATAAATAAAATAAAAAGATTAAATCAAGAATAAAAACAAAACAAAACAATGCAACCTAAAACGTAAACAACGTCAGCGAATTTGTTTGTTTGGGTAAGTGTATATCGAGTTCCGATTTCAGCATCAGAATTTAAAAATCAGAGCAGCTGTCGGTATTAATGAGGATTATTTTGGGAGAAAGATGAAAATTCGGTGCCATCTGCAAAATTGGTAAAAACAAAAACAAATCAATGACGGTTACGAAACTTGGAAATAATATTTTTTGAAAAAAAAAAAAAAAAAAAAAGAGGTTATGTCAAGAAGAAAGAAAAAAATGTATCAGAATAAAAAGAAGATTTGAAAATAGAAAAGGAAAAAAAAAGGGAACAATGCGATAGCAAGGATGAGAATAGAAGAGGAGAAAGTAGGTGAAAGATGTGTGGGTTAAAAAGAAAAGAATGAAAAAAAAAAAGCGAAAGGGCATGAAGTAGAAAGAAAGAAAGAAAGAAAAAGAAAGAGAAGTAAATTTGAGAAAGAAGAGATTGAAAAAGAAGTAATGGGAAAATCCCCAAGGAAGAAACCAGATATTAAAAGAAAGAAGGAAAGAAAATAGTTCTAAAATAGAGAAAAGAAAGAAAAAAAAGCGTGAAGTTACTTAGAGATATAAAAGGATAAAAAAAGAAAGAAAAGAAAGAAAATTAAAAAACGAAAGAATGGAGAATAAATTTTGAAACGAAGGAAAAAGGATAAGGCAATTAAAAAAGGCGGAAAAGGATAAGGCAATTAAAAAAGGCGGAAAAGGATAAGGCAATTAAAAAAGGCGGAAAAGGATAAGGCAATTAAAAAAGGCGGAAAAGGATAAGGCAATTAAAAAAGGCGGAAAAGGATAAGGCAATTTTAAAAAAGGGAAAAGATAAGGCAATTTTAAAAGAGGGAAAAGATAAGGCAATTTTAAAAGAGGGAAAAGATAAGGCAAAAAAAGGGGAAAAATGAGATGTAAAATCAAAAAAGGAAGAAAAAAGAATCGATTTAAAAAAAAAAGGCAGGAAATAAAAAAAGGAAAAGAAATCGAAAAAATGAGAATAAATCAAAAGGTGCCGGCAGAGTAAAAAAAAAAAAGAAAAAACAAAAAGAGCAAATAAATAAAAAGAAAGAATGAAAGGAGAGATAAAGAAAAGTAAACTTTTGAAGTTTGAGAAAGGAAAAGAGGGCGAACGTTTGAGAAAGGAAAAGACGTCGAACGTTTGAGAAAGGAAAAGACGTCGAACGTTAAAACAGCAAAGAGACACGACAAGTAAAAAAATCTCCATGAAAAATGCACCAGACACCCAAAGTAGAGACGTGGAAAAATAAAACCAATGGAAAAAGTATGGTGGAACTACAAAAGCTGAATTAGTAAATTTGTGTCGTGGAAAGGAACTTTGTCAAAGGTTAATTCTGACTTCCCTTCCGATAACAATAAGAATATTTGAAAACGTCGAAAAGTTTTCAACGAGGTGAAAGTTATTTAGAAAACAGCCGGCGAAAGTAATATATTTTCAGGATAAAATTGGAACTTCTGCCCGGATGACAGATGGTGTCTGCTCTTTACTATTTGGTTAACTCCTCTCCAGTTTGATTCATTTGTTCAGGTCAAATGTCAAGATCACTTCATGCACAAGCATTATAGTAAGGTCATTGTTATCGGCTAGATGGCTCCAACGTTGTTTTCACACTTAGAACAAAAATTTATCCTGCGTGATTTTTGTTAGTGATTTAGAAATTGGAATGTTTTCCGTATTTTCTTAATTTAACTGACAAGATTCCTATAATTTTTAGTCAGGAAATTTAGCTTATAGCCCATCTAAACAAACAAAAAAGCGTTGAAGGTAGGAAAAAAAAAGCAGTTTTTGTGTATATATAAGTCCGGCAATTATTTTAATATTTTGTTGTCTATACGTTATTTTTTTTTTTATAGATACAAATATTTAAGTAAATGCTCTGTTTATAATAAACAACATACTGGCCTGAATGTTTGTGTAGGATACGGGTTCAATTCCTGTCGGAGGACATATTTTCTTTGAGATTTCCTGGACATTTAGGCCGGTAAATATTGTTAATACTCTTTATTATAAACAGAGCATTTACTTAAATATTTTTATCTATAAAAATAACGTATGAACTATATATATATATATATATATATATGAGAGATGTGGATCGGAATCAGACAGGATGATAAAGAACAAATAGGAAACATGTAATAATCTAACATGTTTCACTTTTATGAAAGCTTCATCTGAGATTGATGGGATTATATAATACGAAGAACAACTTTAGTCGCTTCTCAAGTTTTACGGCCTCGTGAGCTTCCAGTGTTCTGGTCGGCTGAAGATCGCGAACGCGAGAAACTTCAGTAGCGACTTGATCTGTCCTTTTTTTGCTCTGTCTATATAGTCTAGTAGTTAAGTTACTTTAATTTACTGCATAGGTAGGTGTTTACATTTTTTTTTCTTTCCTTGATCGGATCTTTTTCTTGTTTAAGGTTTTAAGTCTTTTGGCGTGTTGTCTGTTGGTCACACCAACATTGTTGTTGTTTGTTTGTATATATATATATATATATATATATATATATATATATATATATATATATATATATATATATATATATATATAGGTGTAACTACACAACAAAATTATGCAAATCGTCTAACAGCGTAATTGTCGATCACACGAAATGTTTAATTCAGTTTCTTTTTTCTGTCAGCCATTTTGACATCAGTTGTCGTAAGAATCACTAAAAAAAAAAAAAAAAAAAAATTAAAAAAAAAACAAAAAAAAACAAACAGCTAGAAAGAAAACAGTTTAAAATCGTTTTGTGTCAGCTTCACTGTCTTTCCAACTGAGGAGAGGTGAGAAGAAAAAGATCATTTAGGCCTTCAGTAATTGTACAAACATTCATACTCTAGCTTCCATCTTCAAAGACCATTCAAGAACCATGAAGAAAACGGTGAATAAGTTTTAAAAAAGAGGGAACAGTAGAAAGGAAAACTGGATCAGGAAGTCACAACAGGATAACTATTTCAACTGAGAGCTAAAGAGATCAATTAGAAAAGATCCAACCCAATCCATTAGCCGATTGGCACGTAAGAGGAATTTAATCTATGACAGTTCAAAGATCAGTGAATAAAGAATTGAAAATGAAATCGTACGTGAAATCTCTGCGGCACTACTACTGTTACTATAGAACATAAGGTTAGAGGGTGAAGATCATATTGAATAAGTTGAAAAATTTATGGAATTTATATAAACTTATATCAATCGTTCCTGAGCTTCTCATCTTTTTCTACGATTAATTAAAAATGAACGTGCCATTTTCGTTTATGATCAATTTCATCACGATTATTCTGTTAAGCCAGGAGAGTAATTATACATACTTATTGCTCAAACTAGTGTCCAATTGTGTTATAAGAACCTCGGAAAATTCCAGTAAGATATCTTTAATCATTTCTAAGATAGAACGGTTCAAAGCTTAACCTAACAAATGGACAATTTTCTTGTCTCTCTGTCTCTCTCTATATATATATATATATATATATATATATATATATATATATATATATATATATATATTGCCTCTCGGTGAACTAATCGCGCATAAAAACATGACCAACAAGAAGCACAAACCGCTCTGCACACTGTAAAATTACTATGAAGCGCTATTACTATGAATTCTCTTCCTTCGGGTGTGGAGGAACCCGAACGAGGCTACGCCGAAGGGCGGAGTCTCTTTCGGGGAGGTAAACCGACCCTGAACCCGTTTATACGGGTTCAATGGGCATATTTTTGGGCCGAGCCCACAGGCTCGGAGATCCCACATTAAATAATAACCGGCCTTGTGCCATATGATGCCTTAGTGGGGTGGGGGTGACTGAATACCGTCAGTCAGTCGATGTCAGTCGACCGGCTGATCGGTTGAACTCTCCGCCTTCGGGCGGGGAGGAACCTGAACAAGGCTACGCCGAACGGCAGAGTCTCTTTCGGGGAGGTAAACCGACTCTGAACCCGTTTATACGGGTTCAATGGGCATATTTTTGGGCTCGGAGATCCCACGTTAAACTGGCCTTGTGCCACATGATCCCCTTATTGGGGGTGGTTACTAAATATCGTCAGTCAGTCGGTGAGTCAGTCGATGTCGGACAGTTAGTCGAATACTAAAGGATCACCGACCACAACTAGATTACTCTGCGTTATACCTATTATATCAAGTTACTAACGTTTTGTACGTCGAACCTATTTTAGGACCGACTTAGTACAAATAGAAGCCTCCACTGTGAAATCACTCCATAACAATACTAGAATTTATTTTTTTGCAACACGCTGACATTTGTTGAAATACTCACACTATTTAGTATTGTTGAAGTTGTCACTAACATTTTTTTAAGATTTACAAACTACGTTTCGTTCAGTTTTGTAAAGCAATCGATGAAATTTGAATAAGCTGATTTGTTTGGAAAATACTTTGACAAAAACCCTATTTAGAGGTTTTTGCGCACCCTACTGCAATTTGTACCCACTTGCCAGTTTGCACCTCTCCCCAAAATTTGCTTTCGATCGGTCAATATATGGCTGTTTTAGAGGATCTGGCGGACGGACTAACGGAAAATCCGAAACTTTTATAGATATACTAGCAGCATGGCCCGGCGTGGCCCGTGCTTGATTCAAAAATCGTACGACTCATACAGCAATCGCTATCACTTGTCTAAAATTTTTTTTGCCCTTCCTTGCCTTTAAAGGAGTGCCCTTTTGCCGTGCTGATGTTGCAACATGCCATACTTCTTGCCTATCTCACATTGCGAATTTTTTCTAAGCTCTATACTAAACATTAAATCTGTTACGAAAAAAGAACTAAACAAAATGAACACAAAACGATCAGCTTTAAAAAGGACTCGTAACTGGAAAAACCGAATGAAAAAAGAATGTTAACAACAAATACTTTTTCACACCCAACCCAGTTCTGCGGAATCAGAATCAACGTTGAGTTTAAGCAAGCGAATGAGCCAATTGGAGTAAAGTGCCATGCAGATTTAAATTTTTCCTACTTGTGACGAATGCAGCTATCGATTTTTTTGCATGCTAGCATGTTAGTTAACATTTGTGTCAGTCAGTTGTTGGCTCTCACGCTGGCCAGTACAAATTACATGAAAACCGCCGTAGAAGCATGAAAAAATCGATTATTTCCACTATCGATGGGAGTTGAGAAATGCAAGGTCGGTCTTGGCCTTCCCGCTAACTTGGAGCATGTGCATGTAAATTTTGGTGAAAATCCGTCGAAAATTGCGGCCGTGCATTCGTTACACACACACACACACACACACACACACACACACACACACACACATCCTGCCTTTTATAGATAGAGATAAAAGAATGAGATAATATATGTGTGTATAAAAAAATATGAGAGGAAGAGACTGCAAGAAAGATCACATGGAGGAATAAAACTCTCTCTCTCTCTATATATATATATATATATATTAGTTATAGATTGATATATAGATATTCAAGATAAAATCATTTTTCTGCACACGTATTTCACCGTTATTGACAGTAGCAAGCAATTTTTTTTATAATCCTCAGGCAGCTCGGACGAAAGATTTAACAAAATCAGAAATATATTAATAGTGGCGAGAAAACGGTCTAAAATGCCATAAGCAATTTTGTTGTAAAGTGCGAGACAAGAAACTGTAACTGGTTACCGTTTTGTATGTATTCCCCTCCCCCCTTCACTAGGATTTAAACACCACACTAAAAAGAAAATATCTATTTTTATCTCTCAAATGCAGTCTTCATGATTAAATGTACCTATCGACAGATTACAGTATATAGCTCCAAAAGAACTATTTCGATGGAACCTGTCGAAACTGGGTAAGGTAATTTAGATGTGCGTTGTCAACGTGGACTTTGAAGTCGCAGCTTATACACGTAGGCTGGAACCTAACTGAGCACATATTTACTTGTTTATTTATTTTTTATTTATTTTGTTTTTACAGTTTATCAACCTTTTTCAGGTTATTTAAAGCCAATAAATATTTTTATTTTATAAGAACATTTGGGAGATAATGATTTACAGATACAAGTCTTACTAATCCATAGCTGCAATTTGGACCATTATCTAATCTTACGTCAAGAACAATTATGGATATTCACATTTTACAGAAGCAGTGGAGACTGATTGATGGATTTTATTTTTTACGTTTTATCAACCCTTTGTGGAGAAAAGCAGAAACATTTTAGATTGGCAGAATAATTTTTTTTCTTTTTTTTTTTTACAAGTGAATATTGCATTAGTATTTTTTTCTCGGAATAACAATTATTTTACAAGATATAAATTCTACTATTTAACCCATAGCTGGGTGAGGAGCTGAATTCATACCTTTCCTAAGGGTATTTGCGCGTAAGTGAATATAGTGAACCCGACTGGATTTGAAACTCTGCTCCTGGAATTCCACCCCCTTGCCGTTATCTATTTCACCCGCAAATCCAAACGTGCAGCACCTGGTTTTCCCAGCGGTCACCCATCTAAGTGCTGATCATGCTCGACGTTGCTCAACTTAGGTGATCATAAGAGAAACGGTGTTTCAACATGATTGTGGCCGTAA